CACAAGAGGCAGAGAGTAGGGCTAGGAGCTTGGGGAATATGCCTGGATGAGCTTCTTGCTAACTTAGCGTCTGGGAATAGATATGTCCCGAGAGGTGAGTACTTGCCTCCTTACTTACAACGTACAAGTGTGATAGCGAGGTGCGCATCCGAGTCTCGTCATGGACGTGACCAAATCGCCCCCGGCGACATTCAAAGTGCACTGTGGAGAAGGCGACGAATAGCAAGAGGGAAAATAAAATCAGGCAATAATGCATGGGGCCGGAAAGGCAACCATGGAGGCCGAAACGAGGCTATATCCGGAAAGCTGAAGGGGGGATGCAGAACTAGGTATGTACACTACTGTGTGGTGACCACTTGAGGCCTAGTCGATGTTGCACGGCATCAAGCCCACTGAAGTGGGCTGGCCCGAAGAAAACCCAATCATGAGCCTTCACAGTAAGAGCATCCAAGGAGGAAGAGGGAGATTTGTCAGTCAGTGCAGGAAGTCAAGAGGCTCTGCACAACCACAGAAGACCCTTGTCCATAATGTAGTGTGTGAGACACTGGAGCCCTGCCGTCACATCCAAGTCCTGACATGAACTGTGTCCCGGGAAATGAGATGGGTGTTGTAAGGAGCGGGTAGGGTGAACTGGTGCGAGGGGAGAAGAGGCCGAGAGAGGCTGCGATCGACCCATCACGGCCAGGCACTGGATGGCCACTGCAAGCCGGCGAGAGACGACAAGTGAAGACACGAAAGGTTGATGAGGTCGTCCGAAAAGACACAGCCACTCAGAGCTAGACTTGATATGGGACAGCTGAATGTTGGCTGACGGCGGGGGTGGTGTTGCGGATGTTACCTGGGAAAGCGGCACAACCTAAGCCTGGTGCCATCCTGTGTTGTGCTTGTGCTGAGGGCGGGAAGTTTCGAAATGGGATGCAGGTCCGAGGCGCGAAGGGATTGCCTCATGGCGATGGCCAAATCTTGTCAATTGGATCGCCATGTTGAATTGGTGGGTGAAGACACAAAAACTGGTGGTGGTGATGGTGGTGTGAAAGTCCTTCCCTTGGAGCCCGATTGAAAGAGCAAGTTTCCATCCATGTAAAGCGGCGGAAGTGGTGCAAAGTCCGAGAATCTGTAATGCCAGCAGGCGGCGGCGGGGGCAGCAGCCGAAAGCACTGAACTGCAGAGGGCACGGGCCTTATCGAGCCTAGCGAGAGGTACCTCTATCAATCCGATGCCGGCGGCAGCGAAGTGCGGGGACTAAAAGAAGGAACTAGTGCAGTGCTGTGCGAAACTTGTTCAATCAGATCACGACAAGGAAGGAGGTACGGGAGCTGAAAACTCTGCACATTCCAAGTCCAATTGATAATGCGCAGTCTTCTCGCTTCATATTGACCGGGAGGAGGCCAGGGCGGGATGTTCCATGTCCTCCAATCCACCAAGTCCACGACAGTTTCCCCGCTTCAATATGATCAAAATTGACCTCCATCGTCGCCCCGAATGCATCAGCAAATCCAAAGCTGAACAGCCATCACCACCACGCCGGTCCAAGCACCACCACAGTTGACGACCATTCGTCAGGCGTCAGAAAGTCTTGCTAAGAAAGATGTGCTCGGGCAAATAGGCGTCGTGTACGAGCCAAGGAGGGATCATGATAGCTGCTGCTCATGTTGCACGACGCGAACGCACAGCCTGAACAGCCTTACTTCGGGATTCAATTGCCTGTTGGAGATAATGCCCCCAACAGTCTAGGTGTGGAATTCTCAGTCATCCCTCCCTCCCTCTCCCCACGCTGCTCCCTAGGTACTCAAAGGGAAATGCAGAATAGCCAAGCCCCTCTACGCTCACTCCCTAGTAGGGATGAGAAATTGGGGTTTTCTCTCGTCTATCTTGTAGCACATCACTCGATGATAGCTCGCCACTACGATATCCGACCTCTTCAGATGTAGTCGCCAGCATGGTTGTCCAAGGTGGATGCTACCCAAGACACTGGTAGAGATTCGCTTCAATGGGAATCCGGGGAAGGCTACAGTACCCGCTCAGCCAAGAGGTCGAGGCCTTCTGGGCGTAGGCGAGCCAAGAAAGTCACCAAAGGCTTGTCTGTTTGGGCTTGATGTCTTGCATTCAATGGCTAATATCTGTGTGGACAGAATACTAAAAATTTATCTTTGACAAAGAAGAAAAGAAGAAAAGAAGAGAAAGTCTTTAACACCGAAGAGGCCAGTTCTCCTCGTCTCTTTCCACCCCGATCCATATCTCGTTCTTCACCATGATTGCTCCCGCCGTCTTGGCCGCATTAAATTCCGTCAAGCTTATTGTTGTTGAAGTCAGTGACTTCAAGGCGGTTATGTGGGTGGTGGACGAGCTTTCGTGTGCCGACATGGTACTCCTGGTCCCTTGGCTACGAGCTGTCCCCCGACTTCGACTTCTTTCCGCATCGTATAACCCCAATATGTCGTCTACACTGTCATTTCTTCCTCTTCTGCTCTTCTTCTGCATGCTGGCTGGGCTCAGTGGCGTCTGGAATGTCTCAACATCCCCCAAGGAGTCCATGTCGGCAACAGTGTGCGACGAGGCCGAGTCGCGGACGTATGCTGGTGGTGGTGGACTCGGACTACGTTCACCTTTGCTGTGCGAACCACTTGTTGTGGGAAGTTTGTGGTCCCCTAGTTGATTTTGCTGTTGTTCTTGTTTGTGTTGCTCGACCATCGTGAAGTCTGGCATTTCGAGCTTGTTTCTGTTTGGTGGAAGCTCGTCATGGTCTTCTGTCAGTCCACGGCGTCGGAGATACAGCGGACGCAAGGTCGGTATGCCCAGGCACACCATGGCTACTGCTATTTCGGCACCAGCCCAGATGAAGTATGGGGCAAAGTTGTCTACGGTTTGTCAGTACGTCAAGTAACTGCCAAGAGACATCAGGGATGGCTTACAAGTGTAATCCCAGATGTTGAGATGCGACAACACAACGGTTCTCGTGATGCCACATGCACCGGCTCTGTCATCTGTCAGCTTGACCAGTACCGCAAAACACAAGAGACCGAGGATACCGAGTACTCACATCACGCCAAGGCTCATCCCGCTCGCCAGCATAATCTTCTCCCGTCGTGGCATCCTCAAAGACCAAATGAAGAGCCACGGAAAGATGGCAAAGATAAAATCACAGACGCTGGACCACACTCCCAGCCCAACACTCATCGGCTGGATCTTGATGTGCCATTTACCCGGCGTTCTCAACGGATCCCAGCTGGCCTTTCTCGGTGTCGTCTGATTCCATAGCATGACCACCAACGCAAATGACGTCCCTGCCGTCACCACGATAAGCACCCACAGCGCCATCTTTTGTCCCCTCAGCTGCACCACCCTCAGCAAGAAGAATCCCATCGACAACTTGGCCATGGCGTTGCCCGTTATCGCAAAGGTGTTGGCGACATAGCTCCAGAAGATTGATCTCGACGTGTTATCGAGTGATAGTGACCACAGACTGGCCCCCATGCCATAGTGGACCGAGACATGAAGGAAGATGGCGAATAAGAGGAGAAAGAGTCCCGTCAGGACGTAGACGTAGTCTTCGGTGCCGATGAACTTGACAATGCGTATGCGAGTGTAGAGGCGTAGGAACATAAAGGAAAGTGAGAGAAGGGTCATGGACCAAATGGCGACGACTACTTCTAGTTGGCGCTGTTCCATGATGCCAACTGGTCGTTTATCGAGTCATTGTCGTTGTTGTTTGGTTTGCCGTCACTGCATGCAAGTGTATGATGCCGTTGAATCCCGAGTTCCTGGGAAGATAGATAGATGGGTATGGGAAGAAGAAAGAGGGGAAACAAAGAACTGGTGGAGTGACTAGTCTAGCAGCAAACGATCATCATCGCGTGCCAGACTGGGACAAGAAACGTGGTGGGCATGTCTCAAGTTTTGGTTGACGGTCGAAGAAATGGAAAGCTGGAAGCCCAGACTGTTAGAGCAACCTATCACGACATTTCTCCTCAAAACCAAAATTGCTGCCTTTCTCTTGATTTGCTCATCACATTCATTTTATCGAACCTGTTGGCCTGTCAAGGCCTGTTGAATCCCTCGGCTGCCCCATCAACAAAGCCTGCCTACCACGCGAGTGGCAACACCGTAACTGGACGACTGGTTCGACAAGTTCGACAAGTTCGTGGGGTGATGGAGATTTGGGGATATCATAATCTCCAATCACCACCCTCAAGACCATCAAATTGGTCTCAAAAACCAAAAGGCCCCTCTTCCCACTGGAACCTCAATGGAACAAGCGTTGACCATTCATCTGTGTTACCTCGCCCAAGACTTCACTGCCGTACCTGAAGGTGGTGGGCTGCTGTGGGCTGCCATGGGCTGCTAGCACTTACACCTCCCTGTCTGTGAGCGCGGATTGGCTGGATTTGCAACAGGGACTGACCAATGGGAGAGAGCAGGGTTAACCGCTGAAAAGAGTCAAAAAGACAGGGGTCGCGGACTGGGGATTAGCACAGGCGTAATATAGGGCTTTTAAGCGCTTGCACCGGCTCATTGGCTCGACTGGGAGAGATGTCGAAAAAAAAAGTTGATGTCATTGGTCACATTTTTTTTGTAGAAGGTTTTCAGCCCGCCATCCAATTGCCGTGATGAGACATGTTTTGGCAGATTGCGATTGCGTCTGATGCAAGTCATCCTGCCTCGGCAGGCGTTGGAAGGTTACCAAGGGCGTGGTCTCCCTCGTGGTGGTGTGTGTGAGTCGACCCGACCCTAACCCTCTTCGCTCGCTATTCTACCTAGTGTAGAGGTACCTCTAGTCAGGAACAGCCAAGCCCACAACAGCCCTGCCCCTGCCCCTGGCGCGAAAGATCGATCTCGATGACATGCCATGCCCACCACCCGACACCAAAAAAAAAAAAAAATTGCTTTCCCACACACAACAACACATAGACATGGATGGATAGATGGGACTACATAAATGACTCAACCAACAAGTCCTTCCAACCAACAAATCCGAATAGGAATGATTGATAAGCCGCATTGCCCGGCTAGCTCAATCGGTAGAGCGTGAGACTCTTAAGGAGGTCCTCCGTTAATCTCAAGGTTGTGGGTTCGACCCCCACGTCGGGCTCAATTCCCGTCGTTCCTTCTCTCTTTTTTTTTTTTTTTTTTTTTTTTTTTTTATGCTTTCGCTGACCGACGAACGAGTCATTCTTGCTTATTATTGATGTGTTTCGCACTCCTTCGTCGTTGTGTATCTTGCTTTTCTTGTCTTCTTGGGTTTGTCGACGACAACGACGAGAATGTTTTTTTTTTTTTTTTTTTTTTTTTTTTTTTTTTGGGAGGGGGGGGGGGGGGGGGGGGGGTTTGGGGATTATACATTAGTGTTAAAAACTTTGGGGTTAGGGTTTATTGAGTTGGTTGTTTGGGGTTTTTTTTTTTTTG